TATTGGTTGCAAAAATTTGATATTTTTCATTTAAATGCAATATTTTTCATTTAATTGGTATATTTTTTCATTTATATGCAATATTTTTTCATTTATATGCAATATTTTTTCATTTGTATGGTATATTTTTTCATTTAAATGGTATATTTTTTCATTTATATGCAATATTTTTTATTTTAATGGTATAATTTTTCATTTATATGGTATATTTTTTCATTTAAATGCAATATTTTTTATTCAAATGGTATAATTTTTCATTCAAATGGTATAATTTTTCATTCAAATGGTATAATTTTCATTCAAATGCAATAGTTTTTATTCAATTGGTATAAAATGTCATTTGAATGCAATATTTTTTATTCAATTGGTATTATATTAGTTTTTTATTTATATGCAATAATTGCATTATGGGAAATTCTTTGACGTCATAAGGTCAAATTTGCAACAACGTTTGTGATTGGTCGGAAATTGTTTGGATTTCTCCCCTTTCTTTCTAAACATGGGTGACCAAGAATTAAAAAACGCGTCAGAATATCGCCCCTCTAACTAAATCTAACGTTCGTGCGAGTCCTGCACTGGCTGTTAAAATCTTGTGGTCATAACTAGTATTTCTATTGCAAAATTTCGATGGTCAAAACGTTCGGTCCACTTTTCAAAAACCGTTTCATTGTATATGGATTTATATGCAAGTATATCGGGTTTTTAAATAGATTAGACACCGTTGGTTTTCCCGTTTGAATGGTTTTACACTACTAATTTTTGGGGGCCCTTTATAGCTTGCTGTTCGGTTTGAGCCAAGGCTCCGTGTTGAAGACCGTACGTTGACCTTTAATGGTTTACATTTACAAATTATGACTTTGATGGAGAGTTGTCTCATCGGCACTCATACCACATCTTCTTATATGTATATTCAACGTAAACCAGACGTTTCTCAGACTGTTTTCTTTTTTTAATAAATCCTTTGCCGCGCGTTGTGTACTGATTGATAACTCGGTCTGGGAGAACAAGATTTATTTCAGTACCAGTTGTAATTAGGTTTGAGCAAACTTCCAGTAATTGCAAATACTCTTATGTCGGTGCTTTGTGTCTATTGTCTTAATGTTAGTTTTTGTGTGTGTCTCCTACCGATCTTTTGAGTAATTTGCTGATTTGTGCAGGTTGTTATTTTATTGTACCGTTACACCACTGTCCCAGCTTCGGGATGGGTTGCTCACAAACATGTTGTTGTACTGTTACACCGCTGTCCCAGATTAGGGGGAGGATTGGGATCCCGCTAACATGTTTAACCCCGCCACATTCTGTATGTATGTGCTTGTCCCATGTCAGGAGCTTGCAACTCAGTGGTTGCCGTTTGTTGCTTTGTTATACATATTTGTGTTTCGTTCATTTTTTTGTACATTAATTCGGCCGTTAGTTTTCTCGATTGCATTGTTTTACATTTTTGATTTCGGGGCCTATTATAGCTGACTATGCGGTGTAGGCTTTGCTTATTGTCGAAGGCCGTACGGTGACTTATAGCTGTAGATTTCTGTGTCATTTGATCTCTTGTGGAGAGTTGTCTCATCTGCAATCATACCACATCTTCGTTTTTATATCCACCCTGCCATATTCTTTATTTGCCTGTCCCAGGGATGGAGCCTGTAGTTTAATGGTTGTCGTTGGTTCCTGTCTCGACTCATATTTGATATTTTGTAAATTGTTTTGTTATGTATAATTAGGCTGTTAGTTTTTTCGTTTGAATTGTCAGTCACACTTTTAATGTAGGGCCTTTTATAGACGACTTTACAGTATCAGGTTTTTGTCATTGTTGAAGGCCTTACGATTGTCTACAAAAATCATTTGTCTACATGACGGCAAAAAGCTCTACAGAGCTCATGTTTGTAGTATTTCATGTAACCCGAATTAAAATAAATTTTTCTTATCTTATCTTATCTATAATTGCTTACATCCACTTCATATTTGAACTCCGGTGGATAGTTGCCTTATTAGCAATCATATTCCATCTCTTCATTTTTATATTATATACGTGACTTCTAAACTCGTGTTTTCCTGAACAAGCATGAAATAATTTTCACTGGGCGTTAAAATTAGCAACAAACAATCAATCAATTTAAACTTGTGTTAAATTAGAGGAAACCCATTTGATATTTATTTATTTGTTGGGTCGGGGGACAGAAGGATTTCATATATGAATATGGTTGCCTGGTAAGAGCTGAAAAATAGGCATGATTAGCGACAGATTGAAATGAATAATAATGCCCCCTCTCCCCTTCCCCATCCTTCATCTATAAATTTAAACTGACCACCACGGAATAGCCCAATAGTGTTGAAAGTAGCGTAAAACACCAATCAATCAAAATCCCTTCCCTAGAATATCAAATAATCGTCCCTTAACTGTTATTGTCCGTGTAGTTCTTATATTTATCCAGCTTATCGTCCTACAGGGATGTCCTACTAAGGCTGTCATACCATAAAACGTTTATAAAACAGCTCACATTCTAATATATCTGCATTCATAAATTTATTAATTTCATTTAGACTAAACGACGCCATGTTTGTTATGTGCCTCTGCCGTCAACCTATCAAAAAGAAGAGGTGGAAGAGAGCCAGAAGATCTTCCCAATGCAAAAAAAAACAGAAATGGACTTCTTCTGGCTCACTTCCGAAGAACAAAAAAAAACGCGTCCCATTGATATGTTTTAAAAACGCCTTGCCCCTACTTTTTTTCCAAAAAAATGGCATTATTAAATATATAAACATATATATAATCATCAAAATTAAAATGCTATTGTATTTTTATAAGACCTACTTTATTACATGACCTGGGACTAATGACATCTATCTATAAGTCCTAGCATACATTAATTATTATAATATGAATATGTTTCTTGTTTTAATAACCACATATGATGCTATGCATGAGTCACCATTTATCAGGACATGAATTGGGTTTACATAGAGAGGATAAGGGACGACATCAGAAAATCAATGAAGGATAAAAAACTTAATTCAAATAGTTGGGGGGGGAAAATTGCTGCAAGTTTTGTTTAATTAACATCGATTTTATATATATCCTTATTGGTCAATCAATTTTTCCCAAATTAAGAAATTAAATTAAGAGGGGGGGGGGGGGGGGGGGGTCAGTGAAAAAAACTATATGAATTATTTTTTTTTTTATCCTACATTCAACTTTTGATGTCGTCCCTAATGTGCAAAAAAATAGATAAGGGGCGGGACCAAACCTATAGAAAACATAATAAAGAAATGATGAAATATACAGAATACGTTGATTGACTTTTGGTTGCCTTATGTCCAGTGGCAAATATGTCACGCATGTTTAGAACAAATATAATAGAGATCAAAGGATAAAGAATAGAGTGAAATGGTAAAAACTAAAAGATATAGAATTATAGAAACGATCTTTGATCTGAAACCCCCTACCCTCACACACACACCATAACCATTGCTGCCAATACTCGCATATATACATCTCTATACAAATATCTAAATTTGAACCTATCTATTTAAGGGATTCGGAGGCGAGAACAGTAAAAAAAAGCTCAGCAACGAATCCTAAATGTAAAATGATTTGCAGCATAAGACATGAGAGCACATATCATAGATAGTATTAAATATGAAGTTCACGCCTCATATAGTGAAGTCCTATGTCATAGGACAATTGTTGTAACATGGGTTAGTAACTGGTTCCAATTTATCCTGAATTGTCTTTATTAAAGAATTAGTTCCGTAGTATAACAGCTTATGTCTCTACTTGTGGGTTTCTAGTTCTGCTGTCGTAATTAGGTGATTTTTTTTTTCTACATGTAGTAAAAAAGAGGGGGCTTAGTCCAAATAATTGTAACGTCCTGGATGCTTTTTATTCTTTTTTCATGTGCCTTCCTGCAACGTCTCTGAGGATCAAGAAAAGTAAAAAATGATATAGCACTAAAGAACGTCATGATTACATGTATCTGGACTTAGAAGGGGGAGGGGGCTAGCTATGTATTTTTTTTTATTTCAATGTGTAGACTGTAGGAGAGTTTCTTCAGAAAAGGTTTTCATTGGAGGTGTTTTTGCCATGCACGCAGGCATCTGTTTCAGCGCTATCCATGAACAAGTTGTGTGTCAAATTAATTATTATTACTTGTCACTCGCATGTTTTGCTCGTCCTGGCCATTATTGGCATTAACGGCCAGTGCAGGACTCGCACGAACGTTAGATTTAGTTAGAGGGGCGATATTCTGACGCGTTTTTTAATTCTTGGTCACCCATGTTTAGAAAGAAAGGGGAGACATCCAAACAATTTCCGACCAATCACAAACGTTGTTGCAAATTTGACCTTATGACGTCAAAGAATTTCCCATAATGCAATTATTGCATATAAATAAAAAACTACTATACCAATTGAATAAAAAATATTGTATTCAAATGACATTTTATACCAATTGAATAAAAACTATTGCATTTGAATGAAAATTATACCATTTGAATGAAAAATTATACCATTTGAATGAAAAATTATACCATTTGAATAAAAAATATTGCATTTAAATGAAAAAATATACCATATAAATGAAAAATTATACCATTAAAATAAAAAATATTGCATATAAATGAAAAAATATACCATTTAAATGAAAAAATATACCATACAAATGAAAAAATATTGCATATAAATGAAAAAATATTGCATATAAATGAAAAAATATACCAATTAAATGAAAAATATTGCATTTAAATGAAAAATATCAAATTTTTGCAACCAATACCATGCCATAGTTTATAACAAGCGAAATTTCTGTACTACAAGCGAAATTTCTGTACTGATGCGACGAGACTATATCATCATATTCATCTATCAATATTATTTACATTAATTTGAATAGATCGAAGAATTCTACCATTTTTCAAATTCAATGGGAAAATAAGTGCGCTGATCAAGTCATCTCCATTAAATCTAAAGAAATGTCGATTGTACAAAAATATTAATTTCAACTTACTTTGCAAACCCGTCTTTTCTACAACTTGCACTACATTTTGACAAGCAGCTTATTCATATAAGAATTGAATAAATTGACTGCGCTCTTCAGACTTTTGAGACTATCTTTAGGTCATATCAAACTTTTAAATTTTAAATTGGAATTTAAATTTGCAAAGCAAAACATGTAACGCCTTAGTTTAAAAACAAATTACTTTATAAAGAAACGGAATCTATAATGAGACGAAATTGTAATGTATCCTATAGTCAAAATGATAATTGCTTGAAGCTATGGTTGATCTATTTGATAGAGTGAGAAGTCATAAAACTTAAGAAGGCGAGACATGAAAAGTCAACATGGTAGAGCAGGCAGATGCTTCAGGAATTTTTCTTTAGTAGTAACACTACTTTAACTATCGAACTTTTTTCATTTGACCCTTTCTTGTTCAATAAATAGGATTAAAACAAATCAATTCTACGCATGATTAAATGGTAAACAAATCAATTCTACGCATGATTAAATGGTAAACAAATCAATTCTACGCATGATTAAATGGTAAACAAATCAATGCTACGCATGATTAAATGGTAAACTATTTGATTCATCCTTTGAATCGACATCAAATAAAAATATAAAAATATAAAAATATAAAAATATAAAAATTGGATTAAATATATTCAACAACATGTTATTTTATTTGTATTTTATGTTTTAGCGATGATTTCGTTTGCATAATGCCGTTTTACCTCGTAAAACCAACCATCAAAATCAAAACGAAGAAGAAAAATAAACTGCCGAATAGATTCTGATAAAAAGTGTATAATATGATCATACTAAAAGATAGTTAAACGGTGACGTTTATTGTACAACCAGTTCGAAGTCTATCGGCCATTTTCGAAATTCTGTAATACTGTTAGATTTGAAACTTGAAAGACAAAAGGTAATTGCCAGCAGTTCGACATTGTGATATTTTCGTAAAAATTATAGAATAGGTGTGTCGTCTCAACATGAAAATGTGATTTTATCATATTTTACAAACATAATTATTATATCTATATTTAACACATGGGTCATTTTCAAAAACAATTTGAATTTTGAAATCGCAAAATTGAATTAAAGTTACTAATTCAAACAACCCTCTTCATAAGCAAATCAAAACAAACAGTACAATTATAGAAAAACATGTAAAAAGATGCAATCTTGATAATGTCATACAAGACATGAAACATTTATTGATAGGTGGTGCAATATTTTGTCTCTCCTGTTACCATGTTAAAAAGAAATTTTGGGTAATTTAGAAAAGGTTTCGATATAATTTTAAGCTTGTTTTCATATCCAATCAGTTGGTTTTCATTCTGTGTAATGATAGATTATTTGTCAATTTTCCTTTTTGTACTGAAAAATACCTCTAAAAATTTGTTTTCAAATGTTATAAAAATAAACACTAGCAACGCAAGTCTAAGATAGCAATCAATAATGTTCAGCATTTTTTTTCTTTCTAATAAACCTAACATCAATAATTCCCTCGCATGTTGGTTTACTTTTGTCTTCATTTTTTTGGTAACAGGAACGTACGTTAACGATATATCACTATATTAAGTTCTATCCTGTTACCCTTTTTGTCTATCCTGTTACCGATAGCAGTTCAAACAACCAAAAATTTCATTATGTGTAAAACTATATGTGATGATATTTTTTTAAAGACGTTTCTGTCAAATATTGTCTATCCTGTTACTGTAACCATAGTAACCATAGTAACAAGATAGACAAATTTCTTCATTTATGAATGCTGTTATGAAATAACTACTCCCTGTGATGAAGTGATAATGTTTTCTTCTGTGATTTTGGTTTCCCACACGTAATTGCACTTTTTACAAGTATAATATTGGTGTAATTAATAAATATGTTGGTAACAGCATAGACACGCCTAAAGGGTACCCACTATTTTTTTTTTATTTTTCACTAAATGTCTTGAATTTTTTTTCCTCAACACTGTTATGCAAGAAACGTGCTGTGTTAAATTTTAGGAAGCTTTGTGCTTTTGAAATCATCACTGCATAGTTCCATATTCATAGGGATAAAAAAATAACGTTTGATTTAGTAGCGATAACAGGATATATAGACATGCATTTCATGTACGTCGATTGAAATTAGTTTGTAGAAAAATGTTACATAGAATAATAAAGAAGCTGTGATTTTTCGTTAGAGTTTTTATTAACATTCTGAAATAGTTCCTTTTGCAGATAGCAAGGCAATCAGAAAATAGGGAGAAAATCATTTGAAATGTGTTACCCCGACATTGTACGCACAGAAATTACACAACAATCGGACTTTGATATATTTTAATCTTATCAAAAAAGACTGATCTTAATCGTGTTTATTATTGATGTTCCGACTCATAAATCCTACAAACTTTCGTTTAAATACTTACAACTGTATTTTCCTTTTAAATTTTTTTTTTTAGCATTGGCGTACTGAAAATTCGACATTTTTTTTAAATGATCCATATCATATAACATTTTAATTTTATTCAACATTTTCCGTTTCTCCCTTAAATTTTACAAAAGACCTATTGCACAAATTTGTCAGTGCCCATAATAATCTAGGATAGTTCAAATTTGTGACAGACAACAAATTTTAAAAATCAATGTTATTTCCGAAATGTGATTGTTTTGAAGTTTAATTTAAGACTTTAATTTCCTGGGAATCGCCCAGATATTCAATAATTTGCATCAAGTTGTCAGTGTATCCCCAAAATGTTACCAAGTTAAAAATGAATGTTTTGCACGAAACGTCAATGCAACATTATAATTTATTTACATTGACCGAAAGTGTCGCATGTATATGTCTTTTGTCTTTGACACGTTCTGCATAATAATATAATTTTATAAGTTAAAGACATATTACGAAAAATTTTACTTCCATCAATTTTTGTAAACCATGTGCTGATCTTAAAAGCGTTAATAATGTCGGATAAAAAAATTAACTTATATAATGCGAAAGTTTTTTATTTTTAATACTAATAGATTGTGTTGATGGGTGTATATTTTTGTCGTATAACATATAACTATTTTCGATTGTGTGATGTAATATTTTCTACAACCGTTCTAGATTAATGGAGAAATAAGTAAAAAGGCACATGAAAATGGTGAATTGAGTGAACCTTGCTACGAATTTGTTTAATTTCTTTTTAAATTGTGCACATTGTACGGAAAGAAAAGCACGGAAAGAAAGATATTAACACAGAGATTGCATGGCTAGTCACTATGAGCACCTCAATATTTGCATTTCTGTGCATGGAACGAAAGAAATGGGTCATGTCAAAATGGAAGGACCCTGTTTCGTCAATGTTGTTTATTACATAAGGACTCGGTTTTGTCTCAGTATAGGACCCGGTTTTGTTTTGTTTTGAAACCACAAATTTATGAAAAGCTACGTTAACACGAATCTGAACATTGCCCATCGGAAGAAATTAAATATGTGAGTCAAAAAGATGTTATAAAGATGTTATTGCAATACAAACATGTCGTGTTAAAATATATTTCAAACAGGAACTTTTCGAAATAGGGAGTAGACATTTTTGAATATTATACGTATACCTTATTGAACTTATCTTCGAACTAAATTTAAATGGAAATAAATACTTTATAGTATGTACATTTGTACTTACATTAATTCCTTATGATATGAAAAAGATGTGATGTGATTGACAATGAGACAGCTCTTCACAAGAGACCAAATGACACAGAAATTAACAACTAAAGGTCACCGTACGGCCTTCAACAATGAGCAAAGCCCATACCGCAAAGTCAGCTATAAAAGGCCCCGAATTGACATTTGTAAAACAATTCAAACGAGAAAACTAACGTCCTAAATTATGTACAAAAAATGAACGAAAAACAAATATGTAACACAGCAACAAACGACAACCACTGAATTACAGGCTCCTGACTTAGGACAGGTACATATATACGGAATATGGCGGGGTTAAACATGTTAGCGGGATCCCAACCCCCCACCCCCCACCCCCTTACCTGGGAAATTGGTGTAACAGTACAACATAAGAACGAACTATAAAAATCAGTTGAAAAATGCTTAACTCATCAGATGGATACAAATAGAAATACATCTCACAAATGTTTGTTTATTTTCTATACTACTGTAATGATGTAAAAATAAGAAGATATGGAATGATTGTGTAACCATATCAATTTATCAAAAGAGTAAGGATAGTATGCTTTACTATACTATACGCTATGTTTACAATATATTTACTCATTCGTTCATCCATTGACGGACAGTGAGAGAAAAAGCTCCGTTTTGAAGGCCGTACTTTGACATTTTAATTTATTTCCATTTAAATTTAGTTCGAAGATAAGTTCAATAAGGTATACGTATAGCATTCAATGGTTTACTCTTACAAATTGTGACTTGGATGGAGAGTTGTCTCATTGGCACTCATACCACATTTTCTTATATCTATTAGAACGTTTTGGATATCTTAAATCAAAATGGTTGCCTTTCGAACGTGTATTTTATGTCCGCTTCAAAATACATAAGTTCTAAACTTCCCTACTAGAAACGTAATGATTATATCATGCCATGCTATACGCATTTTAACATGGGTAGGTAGGCATTATATTTGTCAATATTCTATACCTTGCTAACGCTTGGTATAAAAATTTAAACAAATATAATGCCTACCTATGTTAAAATGATCATTGAGCATGGCATGAAAGAATTATTTCTTTTAATAAAAAAAAGTTGGTAAAGTTGCAACATTATAACGCCCAATATCTTTGTCTTCGTCTTCGTCTTCGTAGAACAACCTAAGTGGCATCCAACAATGAGAAACACCCATACGGCATAGCAAGCTAAAAAAGGCACCGCAATGAAAACTGTAAAAAAAAAACTAATGTGAAAACTAACAACCTGATTTATGTACAAAATAAAAAACGAAATACAAATGTATGACATACAGCAACAAAAGACAACCACCGATTTACAGGCTCCTGGATTTGGTACCGGCACATACAGAATGGCGGGGTTGAACGTGTAAGCGCCCCCCCCCCAAAAAAAAAAACCAAACAAACAAAAAAAAAACTGGTATAACAGCA